ATATGTGTTGTTACATATGTATTTATTATATATGGTTATATATATGTGTAAAATATAACATTTGCTTTTAGACTATAAAATAAATATATTTTAGTGATGGTAATCCATTATAGTTTACTCAGCTATAGATAATTCACTAGCTTCCCTCAGTCTTTCTTTCAGCACACCTGAAATCTTTCAGCACACCTGAAATCTTTCTCAGGAGTCTATTCTCAGGCTCAACGCAGCCCTCTCCAGCTGTCCCTACTATTGCAATTTTGTATGTAAATGCCTTTCATCCTGTCCCAGAGAAAAGGATATCTCTTGCTGTCTACTCATTCCCCTCTCTGAGCTGTCCCTGACATCCATTATGCAAGCTGAGTTATTCAGGAGCAGAAAGGTCTCTTGTAAAACTAACTGCTTAGCGCAACACCTGTCAGAGTAAGTACTTTAACAATAGCTGACATTTTGTAATGCTTGTGAGTACGAAGCATTTTATGATATGCCTTTGATAGATATTATTTTATTTAATTATCATGACAAATCTATGAAGAGAGGTAAAGTAACTAACTCATTCTGATTTCCTGGGAACTCTGCCATTTTAACACTGAAAGTCCAATGTCCACAAAACCTTATAGTCCCAAGCAAGCCAAAATGGTTGGTTAGATTGAAGAGAGGATTCATATTGGTTCACTTTCTGAGCCAGGAATTTAATAGTGTGCATTGTTTTTCTTTTCAGAAATGGAAAAGTTTTTAAGGTATAATTTTAATTCTTGTCCCCTTTAACAAGTTAATTTTGATGACATATCATTTGTTTGTTGTCTCACCAAGCTTCATGAAGAGAGACTAAAGACACTCTCAGAATAGTAACCAAGTGTATTTTAGGAGACCTTGGTAAAGAAGTTAATACAGCAATTAAGCACACCTGAAATCTGGTGTAAAATATAATTAAACGTTGCTTAGAAACTTTTCTTATTGAACCAAATGAAAATATGCCTCTTGTTTAAAATGTCAAACTGATCATTGTTCCTTATGTTTTTTCTTGGTTATAGAATGACATTTCCATGAACACTCATTTCTGGTTTAGCTGTACACAATAAACACAATAGCTACTACTAATTATTTAGTCCCTACTGAGCAGTTCATCAAGGATTTGTGAAGGCAGTGGCATCAATTGATATTCCTTCCCTTCCTCTCCTGCCCGCTCTGTTTAAAGATAACATGGTCTAAGTCTAGGCATGGAATTAACCTACCTTCAGGCCATTGCCTCCTAAATGCAGTTTGTATCTTCACCTTCTGTAGCCCATAGCAAAATGAAGTTACCTCTCTTTGGTGGGTTATCTACTAAAATGAGAATTCAAAGTTTACACTGTGCAAGAGGAAGGATAGTGTGTGTAGGAAGTGAGCTTTCTGGATGTTCTGTTCCTTTCAAGCTTTGTGGACTTATTTCCTTGAAGATTATGAGGCTAGATAGGCAAATACAGTGGTGATATAATTGACTGAGTATACCTGCAAGAAGATAAGCTGCACCTCCAAAGATCTATAGAGTGTTCTGCATGGTGTCTGGCACCATAAACACTCAAAAAATGTTAGTCATATCCCCTCCCTCCCCTGAGGAATGAAAATGTACGTGTTCCTCCGTTCTCTGTTTATACTGAATCTGCTGGAAAATAGGATTTCTTAAGGCTGGGACTAAATGTTCCTTGTTCGTTCTAGCCTTGGCGTTGCCAAACACATGTGTGACTAATAGTAATCCTCATAAATATTGTATGAATTAACAAATGCATTAATGAGAATTTCTATTAAGGTGTATCTCAACAGGGGAAATTATGTGTTTTGCCAAGAGGAGATATAGAGAATATGGAAAGCATTTTCCCTAAGTTCTTTTTTTTAATGACAGTCTTTCATAACTCCACTTGCATCTGGTTGGAATATCAACAGTGGTCAAATTATAGCCCTGCTTGCAAGTCAATTTAGAGGCCAGGTGACTGATACGATAAACAGTAAAACAAAGATCATCTCTCTTATATACTATTTGAGGAACTTCATGTCTATTTAGTGAAGAAAATTATTGTCTCAGCAGTTGTTCAATTTCTCTTTATTGTCTAAGAGGAAAGGTAATTCCACTTTAAGAAAGAGCAAGGATACAAGAACATAATGAAAAATGCAATTGCATACAAACCCCCAGGTTCTGAAAAGTTAGTTAACTTCTTTATTGTTTCTACGTTATCTGCTACTAAAAAGTAATTTCCCCATATTTATACCACCTATTACAAACTCACATCTATCCTTTGAAAGAGATATGTGTGGTATTTTTTCCTTGATTGATGACCATTAGATCATCAAGTTCCTATGGTTTGTCCCAGTTCTCCCAAAGTTGTATCTACTCAATCCCTTGTTTGAACTAGTTTTGACTTGGTCAGTAAAATTATTGGAAAACTGGGTTCCATAATTTAGTGGCACTTGGGACACAGTCATTTCTCCAACAGATTTTTGTATCTGATATTCCACAGTTAAATCTGTGGCACCTGGTTTGGAATGTTTTCGGGTGGGCTCCATCAACACCTGCCCCATCTAACCTCTTTGTCTAAGCTTCATGGCCACAATCCAGTACCTTGATAAGGGATATGATGGTGATGACAATGATAATGAAAAACAAAATTTACTATTTACTTATTATGTGGCTGAATCCTATCTAGATGTTTTAAATATGTGAATCCTTTTACTATTCGCAATCATTCTATGTTTTAGCACTGATCCCTTATGGAGATGAAGAAATGGAATCTTCTTTTTAAAGCAGAAAAGTGAATTGCTTGAGGTCGCTCAACTTAGGAAATGGAAGAGATAGAGGATTCAAATACAGGCATTCCAGTATGGGAGCCCACACTCCTAACCATTGTACTATAAACTCTTCATCTTTGTGTTCTTATTTTCTGCTAGGCCCAGAACCCATTGTAGAGCCTTAGAGTCTTGTGTGGAGCATTCTCTGTTTAACATTCATCCCACCTCCTGCTGGGGGTTCTGTCTTGACTCCTACTTAAATCACTCAGGATTTGCTCTCATATTCTGGTAAATAGAGTTTGGCCATGAACGCCCTTTAACCAGAACAATATTGGTCACCTCTCTCACTCCATCAGTATTTTAAGCAACACATTCATCTAAATCTATGCTTCCAAAACTCTGAATGCCATTACTCTTTGGACTAGATGTGCCTTTGTGGTAGTGCTATCCTCTACCCAGTTGCTTCTAGTACTGTCTTTCTACCCTGAAAGTCTGTATTGACAAAGCCTCAGGGAACCCCATTCCATAAGGTGTAGAAGATAAATAAGTGGAGATCAATAAGGGAGGTAATCTGTAGAAAAGGGACAAAGCACCCCTCTTAATGCCACGATAGCTTAGTCTATCAGTGTAAATTATGTTGCAAATATATAGAGTTAATGGTATTTGGCTGCAATTTATTTCATGTCCCCTTTCTGCCTTCTCTCCAGGGAGCTCAGCTATTTCAAGTAAAAATCCTATTACCTCCCAAACCGTCGCTATGTGATGTAGATGTGGCCAGTGTTGTCATCCATAATTTACAGGACACTTTATATGGTTAAGCATCTTGCTCAGAATCAAATGACAATACCAGTTGGCAAATTCTCTGGATCAATTCCGTCCTTTCTGATTCACCGTGATATGTGAGCACACGGGAAATGTTCAATGTGTTCTTACAGGCACAGGCTTAACGTGCTACAAGTTATTCCACATCAATCTGGGAGGTAGTTTTAATGCTGCCTTTTTTGTACCATGGAATTACATTTGTCTCTACTTTCTAGGAATGGTTCAAAATCTTCCCATTGTTCCCTGTTTCATGTTTAGGATAGATGATATGAATTTACAATCAGAATCAACTTGGATGGTTTAATATTATTCATTCAACACATACTTATTTAATATCTACTGTGTTCCAGTCACTTTGCTGGGGAAAGCAGTACACAATCAGATGAGACTTCTACTTCCATTGAGTTTAAATTTTAATTTGGGTAGAAAGAGAGATGATAGGAGAAAAAAAGCACTTAATATGGTTTAATATAGGACAAATGCTATTGAACATAAAAAAATAAATGATAGTGATACAATACATAATTGCGTAGAGAAGTGGAGGGAAGGGGTATTTAGACAGTTGAGTTAGAGACTTTCTGAGGAATTGATGAGGTAAAGAGACAGACGTGCAAAAACCTGGTGAAAGTATATTCTGGATAGAGGGAAGAACAAGTACAAGGCTGTGAGGTAGGACTGAACTTGGCATGCTCTTGTGGACCTGCAAGAAGCCCATGTGACTAAGGATGGGTGAGGTAGGGTGGGTCAGAGAATAGAATTAAAGTAGGTATGAGAGGTAGGCATGAGCTAGATCATATCAAACTTTGCAGGTAAGGGGTTACTTAATTATTAATATATTTACTTGCTTATTTATCTATGTATTTGCTTATTTGGAAGTGCTATAGGAAGTCCCCAAGGCTACTTAAGGACAGTGACTAGATGTAATTCAGATTTTTAAATGAAACCTCTGGGTGTTATGGTGAAACAGGGTAATAGGGACAGAAAATGGAAGCAGGAAAACCAATAAACAGGCATTTGCATAAATCCAGGTAAAATCTGAAGATATTTTAACCACAATGTAATAGATAAATCTATTTTAAAAATCAGCAAATATTCACTGAGTGACCCCTCCATGCAAAGTATGCAGATCCTCACACTTGTCATCCTGTCTATGGGTTTTGCATGCATGGTTGCATGCATTCTTTTTCTAAAACTCTTCCACCCTCTTTTTTTGTCTTGCTACTCCTACATAGACTTCAACATAGAGATACATTTCTCCAGTGATCATTTTCTGACCCCGAAATTAAGTGTAGGTGTCCCATAGCACCTTATATTCCCTTTATCAAAGAACCTATTTTCTCTTTTTTTGCACCTTTTCTCTGTTCCCCACCAGATCGTAAACTGTTCGGAAAAAAAAAAAAAAAAAAAAAAATTTCTAACTTCCTCAATGTATTCCTTTCTAGGGCTGCCATAACAAACTATCACAGACTGTGTGGCATAAACACCAGAAATTTATTGATCACAGTTCTGGAGGCTGCATGTCCAAGATCAAGGTGTCAGCAGGGTTGGTTTCTTCAGGTACCTCACTCCTTGGCTTGCAGATGGCCGACTTCTTGCTGAGTCTTGATCTTTTCTCTGTGTGTGTACATCCCAGGTTTTTCTTTATGTGTCCAGATTTCTTCTGACAATAGGCACAAGTCACATTGGATTAGAGCCCACCCTAATGGCATCATTTTAACTTAGCTACCTCTTTAAATGCTCTATCTCCAAATGCAGTCACATTCTGAGGTATTGACAGTCAGGATGTCAACATATGAATTTTGGGAGACACAATTCAAACGGTGGTAGTCACTGTTGTATACACAGTATCTTTGACATTGTGGGCACTCAATAAATATGTGCTGATGAATTTTATGTTTAAGGTTTTAATAATGGTTATATCAAATGATGTGTGGTAATACCCCATTTATATCTTCTGATATTTTGTTTCATGGATAATTCAGATTTGAGCCATGGGTTCAGCTTGTTGTGCAGTAGATAAAACAATTAAGTGGCAATAGGCCTCTTTATAACCAGATTTAAAGGCCACTGCAGGGGTAGATGTTACTAAATCTTGGGATCTTCTATTGATGCTCCATTTTAAGTGGAGAATTGTAAAATTTGAGCACTTATGTGTGTTTTTGAATAATAGATTGAAGCAGATACTCTGATAGCTACAATTATACTCAGAGTGCACTTACTAACTCTACTGGATGCTCGGAATTTTAATGTTTTACTTTGAACTTATTGACCTTCTTAGATCATTATACTAATCCTTTGATATTGTCAATGCAAGATATGACTATCCTCAACTTTAATATGAGTGATTCTCCTTTTAACATAAACCTGGTCAGATCACTGTACTGCTTAAAGCCCATCTAGATCTTCCATTGCCCTTAGAATACAAGCCATAGTCTTTACCATGGCCTATGATGTCCTGTATGTTCCTGTTTACCTCACTGGGCTCATGACCTGCCATACTCTTTCAGTGACCTCTGGCCATGGCAGAGTTTTCTCTGTCCTGTTTTTATTCCAAGTACTACATATTTCAGCATGTGCTGTTATCTCTGTTGGAAAATCTGTCCCTCCATCCATTCCCATGTCCTGCATACATCACAAGGTCATACAACATTTACTTAGGATAACTTTTTGAAGTGTTTCCCCCTTTCCTCAACATTTGCTGTTCCATTTCCTTAAGGCTCCCATAGCTCTTGTTCCTTCTCCTGTCTCTTTTGCAACCTGTTGATACTTTCAATGATTTGCTTAAATATGCATGTGTTTGACTAATATGTCTCCATGCTAGACCATTGGTGATATGTGGGGGTTACTGGGTCTCTTTGTGCTCACTGCTGTATCTCCAGGGCATCTCCTGCTCAATGAATAACTGTTGACAGAAAATAAAGCTGGGAGTCATAGAAACATGAATTTATGCCGTGGTAATTCCAAAATGGGTGAGAAGACCCAATTCCATTGTACCCACTGACATGGTTATAATGATTATAGATAGGTAATCCTTGGCAAGATATGAAGCCCAAGTTGGCTTTTAAAACTAAGAATAAATCAACCATAGTGAATTCAAACTTTAACTCATCTGCAGGAATCATCAGCTTCGTGGGTGAGCTCTGTTATACGTGACACATGATTTCAGTGACAACATTCAACGTAACTTGAAAGGATTTGGGTGGGAGTAATGCTACATATCTTTTCTATGTACATGAATGAGCCAAGAATGCCAAGTATTTTTAAAAGTTGAGTAAAAATGTTACCTGGAGAATGAAAGCATATGAATGACAAATCTAGTCCCAAAATAGAATGTGTCATTGCTAATCATTACAAATCTACTCTCTGCCTGCAATGCTGTGAAAACCCTCCATTGTGTGCTATTCCTCCTGGAGAGAGAGAGAGAGAGATCTTGAAAAGGTAAAATAAAAGCTTCAGGCTTAATTGGGTGACAGTGAAAAGGCAGAGAATCATTGTTCAAAACTGAGTTTTCAATAAAGCCAGTGGGATAACTGGAAGAAATGACATCTCATGCCTTCTCTCACACCGACACTTAGTTATTAATGAAGGCACAGAACATCTCTTAGTTGTTTACTTAAACCCATTGCCAGAATCTTTAGACAATGACACTGCTGATTTCACCCACAGCTGCCTTTCAGTAGCAACAAACAAGAGCTTTGACTCTTGCATCCTAGAGTTAATGGTGCTCAGCTGAGAACATGTACCTTGCAACAAGCTTCTCAGGTGCCTCTCCCTTTGTTGTGAAAACCAATGGGCTATTTCTGAAACCAATTCGTGTGTGTGTGTGTGTGTGTGTGTGTGTGTGTGTGTGTGTGTGTGAGAGAGAGAGAGAGAGAGAGAGAGAGAGAGAGAGAGAGAGAGAACAATGGAAATATAGTGTATTTGTGAGTAGGGGGAGAGGTATTGGAGCATGGAGGAAAATGTGTTTTAAGGGTTGTGTAGGAACAAAGTAGGTCTGTCCAATATGGTGAATAACAGGTAGTTAATCTATAGCCAATGATACGATTATGGCTTCAGGTTAACAATGTCTCATTTTCTTCATTCATGGCCACTTTGTGGAAGTAGGCTTTAAGGTGCTTCTTGTTTCTCAGCGTTTCATTGATTTATTCTTGAAAGTCAAACCATCAATAATTGTCAAAAATCCCTCAAATTCAAAGTGATCTGTACTTGACCTTAAAACTATAAGCACAATATAGGATCTCTCTCTCTCTCTCTCTCCCTCATCATCCCCCCACCTCCACCCTGCCACACACAGAGAGACACACTCACAACCTATGGGTAAAAGACAGGAAAATTGTATTTTTTTCCAGTTGTTGAGGCTGTTTTTACTTAAGAATGTGATCAAAGTAAATAAAATCTTATATTGGCTAATCAAATATAGCAATATTTACATAGTATTAGGAAGTTTTTTAGTAAAAGGGTATACAAAGTCCTTTCTGTATCCCAGACAAGAGTAAAATATGCTGAGGTTTTAGTATAGCATTTTTACAATGTACATTCTGCCCTTTGCTACTTCTTTAACAATGGGAAAATAATGGCCCTCAATTTTATCATCTATAAAATGGAAAAAATAGCAATATCTATCAATCACCAATAGCAACTACAGTGATATGAAAAGGGGATTATATGTGTAAGAAAATTCCTCTGTTCTTGGTAGTAGATCATCTCCAATTTGAACATTTCATTTTCTTCTTAGTTACTAGGGTGCAATGAAGACCCAGTTCCAGAGAACAAGCACTGCTATGGTGGGGAAGTGGGTGATGGGGGTGGGCAGGTGGGGAGCAGACATACATAATTACAGTAAGAAGCATGAAGATGCAAAAATGGAAGTACTTACAAAATTTCTATACAGGAAGGCCAAGCATGAATCTTTCTGAAAGAGATATAGAAAAAGAGTTATGGTAAGTGGGTAATAGAGGAACTGTTTCTTGAAGGATGAAGGATTTAAATAATTATTTGCCATCTATTGTCTACAAAGCTATATGCTAGGGTTCTATGAAGGCATTAAAAGAACAGTTTATATGTCACTGCTGTGACTATAAATCTTTCTATAATCACTTGGGAAAGTAATATGAAAGAGAGAGTATTTCATTTACAGGCATTCACCCTAGAGAAACTCTCCCACCTAGTAAAGTTAAATGCAGCATTGTTTAAAGTGTTGAGTGTAAGAGAGGCAAAGCCACGTGAGGATTTTGAATAGGTTAGTGGCATAATATGACATACCTTTTAAAAGAGGCACTCTGACTGTTTCATTGAGAATAGATGTAGGTTCTCTGAGGAGGAAGAATGCAGAATGGGAGAAGACTGTTCAATAATCCAAACAAGACAGGATAATTCAGAGTAGTAGCCTGGATGTGGTGAGAAGTAGATGGATTTTGAATATATTTTGAAGGTAGAGCTAACAGTATTCAAAATTGTGAAAAAATTCATACAAGGAGATACTATGCAGCAGTCTAAAGCAATGAACTAGGTTAATATAAAATAACGGAAATCTCAAAAATAATGTAGAACATCAAAAATAAGATGCAACATAATAATACACTATAGTAGAATTTATGTAAATTAAGAAAACTCACAGTATGATATATTGCTCATGCATAGACAATATATGTCTTTTTAAAATGGATTGTAAGGATGAATAATGATTTAATGATTGCTTTTAACCCATTGGACAGAATAGGAAGAAGGAGGGACTTGGTCTGGAGAAGAAAGAAAAAATGATTTCAACCCTGTGTTTTTTTTAATTTGAAAAATTGTTAATAGATATCATGGAGACAGCTATGTAGTATGTATGAAGGTGTCTTGCTCTAGTTCCTTTCTATATTTTAATTTAAACAAAATAGAAAAGAATATAGAGATTTGTAAAAGACTAAATTTCTGTGATCACTTAAAAATATATAAATGCACACATACATATCCCTTGTATTAAGGGATATCTGGAAACTGTTTTAAAATTCTGTGAAGGTTGAGAACATGGCATGATCAAATGCAATTGGAAGGGAAAAGGTAGAAAGTTTTAGGTAGTATTAATTGTATTAATAGTGTTACAATTAGGTAGTGTTTCAACAGGTTAACATTTAAGTAGGGAGTTCTTTCAGAGCAAAACAAGAGCAAAGATAGGAAACCAGCCACCAACTTTTGGAAAGAGCCTTGGATTTCAGCTTCTAGAATTTAGAGCCAACTTATAAGGCTTCTCTATTTCATCCCACCCTCTAAAAATAGAGGGCAGATTCCCATCACTGCCACTATGAGATAATATTGTGCAGCAAAAAAGAAGAAAATGAATCTATTGGAGAATTTTTATTAAAGGAATTTATTATGGCTTTAGATACCAATACATATTGAAAAAAGAGTATATTAAAAGTAGATAGTGCTAACATTTTGTTAAAGAGGGAGTGAAATGTATGAAAGCTTGAAATCTCAAGATTTTCAAAAGCAAATATGAGCTGAAAGAGCTCAATGTGAATATTCTGCTAAGTTTAATCTAAACAAATTGCCTGATAACTTGATGACTGACTGAGAGACTGGCTTCTAAATCAGCAGGCTATTAAGTGTAACCTACATAGCAATGCAGGAGCAAATTTAAAGTGTGAGAAATACCTGGGGTGAAGGGAATGTTTGGACAAGTTAGTCTAACCAGGATATTGATGAAATCGGTTTAGTGCAAATGGCATCCTAAATAGCAAGTACTCACCACCACCACCATCACCACGCACAAATACCAATCTTCCAGTGAAACACCACCTGATCCACCTTGAGTGCTGCTGACAAATTCAGCAACCAAACCGAATGTCAGGAATATGAGCTACTGGAGTTGAGAAATTTGGTTTATAGAAATCAACTCATTTCTCAATCTCACTCTGGTTAGGACCAGAGGAACTATATATGCTGTAAGGGGAATGAAAAAGTACTGTGCTACCCAAGCTTTGTCTCACTTTCTGAATCTTCATTTTCATGTGGCTTTATGACTTCGTTATGTATGCGTAATATTCTCACACATTGCCTGACAAGCATGGATGCGAACAACAAGCAATGAGGCAGAATGATGTACCAATATTAAGCCTAATGTGGTGCCTATACCATTTGAGTTTTGAGTTATTTCTCCCACAGCAGATCCCCTATACAAAAAGAATTGATACACGCATTTCCCTTTCTTTCTATAAATTACCCATATATTCACTACATAATTATTTAAACCTTGTCGATGGTAATCAATCACTAAATGAGCTAGAAAGCAAGGAGTGTCTTTCATGATTCGTTGTAGTAATTGTCTCTGGAAGTTCTATCACCATTTATTTGTCTCAGCTGGACTTGGTCTATAAATAGCTCTGTGAAATGATGGACAGTTTTCAAGGCTTGTTGGCATGGAATCAGTACGTGGCAGGAGAGACCATTTGAATCAATTATATTATCCCTGGCAGGGTTACCATGGAAGCTCTAGCTCTTCATAGCACTTTGCTTCTCCTGTCCGAGTAGTATGCTCTACATATCTTTAATTAGAATGGATGCAATTTATTTAGCAATGGAAGGCTTACTTAAGCGAGTTCTGTGAAGGTGTCAGACAGAATTCAACCAGCCATGCATATTCAGAGAAGACTAATGTAAAAATGCAAATGATTTTTCTAATTTAATTCCTTACTGAAAATAAAGAAAAGAAAAAAGGAAAAAAATGTCTTCCTATCTGGAAGTAAGCTTCATTTGATTGTAAAGAAATTGTTTGATATTCCATCTTTACTCAGACACAAAACAAGCAGTAGTTCTTAAAATAACCTCTTCTGCTGTGGATATAATAATCTATCATATGCATTTATTAACTTATTCTGTGTCACTGCTGTAGCATTTAACATTGCTTAGCATGGTTTCATATTGGGTACAATCCGCAAGTCTACACAGGACCAATTACTGAGTCCCCTGTGTGCCTGGTCTTTTGGGAATATGAAGACCCGTTATTCTCAAGGCATGAACAAATAAGCTGGGGAGACAGGCAAACAGGCAAACATAACACTGACAATAAACTTCATGATACAGGTCTGAAGGGATGCTTTAAACAGATTAAGATCCAGTAACTTAACAATGTGGGGGATGGAGACATTTAGAACACACTTCCTTGAAGAGCATATACTTGAGATGAATTTTCAAGGATAGGCAGTAACTAACCAGCTTGAATGGCTGGGGAAGAATGACTGTTCAGAATGAAAAATACTGTAAATGAAAAAACATGGATTACTGGAAGATCTGGCTATGTTTACCAAACTACAAATAGGCTTATGGGGCTGGTGAAATGCTTCATAGCATCATGCTACCATCCAAATCTGGGATCCAGATCATGGAAGAACTTGCATACCATCCTAAGATTCTTAGTTTTATCTTGAAGGGAGTAAATGGAAACCATTCCTACTTTAAGGAAAACTAATGCGTTAAACTTTGGAGATTATTATATTCGGTTTCACAAAATTTTGCAAATGTTATCTTTTAAAATTCCTTTTAATATATAAGTTTTAACTGCCACAGAGATTTCAAAAGAAGAAAAAACAAGTTGTATAATAATAATTTAGGTAAAAGGCATTTCTGTGCTTTTCTTTTAGAGAAAACACAAACATTTCCTCCCAAACTTAAGATACTCTGGGGTAAAAGTTAGAAGTTAAAAGTTTAGACTGTAATTTTCAGGTGGTGAGAAACTCTCTATCCATCTTGATTCCTTTTGTTTCTGAAATTCCTAATCTTTTAGGAGGGAGACTCTGCCTTGAAAGGTACCTTTTTGAACCTGAGTATTTTCACTCCCCACAACTGTATCAAAAAGGGTAACAATGGCTGGGCGCGGTGGCTCATGCCTGTAATCCCAGCCCTTTGGGAGGCCGAGGCAGGTGGATCACGAGGTCAGGAGATCAAGACCATCCTGGCTAACACGGTGAAACCCCACTTCTACTAAAAAAAAAAAAAAAAAAAAAAAAAAAAAAAAAAAAAATTAGCCGGTCATAGTGGTGGGTGCCTGTAGTCCCAGCTATTAGGGAGGCTGAGGCAGGAGAATGGTGTGAACCCAGGAGGCAGAACTTGTAGTGAGCCAAGATGGCGCCACTGCACTCCAGCCTGGGCAACAGAATGAGACTCTGTTTCAAGGAAAAAAAAAAAAAAAAAAAAAAAGAAATCACAAAAAGGGTAACAGTGATAATCATAATTATTTGTTGTACTCTTAATCAAAAGCACTAGACCCCTGGAACTATGCCTTTGACATACATTTTCCCATGTTACCTTTACTACTATACTGTATGGACATTATTAGCCCCTCAGTTTACAGATGAAGAAACTGAGGCTCAGAAAATACAAGTAAATGGCCCAAGTCAATGGCCAGCTTTACTGGGAAGTGAGTCTGGTATTTGAACCAGGCAGTTTTTATTCTACAGTGGCGGGACTCAGCTTCAGCAGACATTCTTGGATGCAGTTGAACACGTGTCACACCCTTTTAGACGACAAGACTCAGGGTTGGACAGAATGTAAATGAAAACAATAAACATAAAAGGCTACATTCCGTGGTCTTTATGACTAATGCACCTCTAGAAACTTCTGCTTTTGAATACTTGAGTAACCCATTTGCAAGCTGTTGGGAAATTGAAATCTGCATGAAGTTTCCACACACACTCTAAATTATCACACTAAGTGCTTTTTGTTCCCCTATTACCTCCGAATTCTCTACCACTTCTTTTGTGTGCCTGATGTTTAAGGTTACTTTTAAAAATGAATATGAAATAAGCTGTATTTCTTCTGTCATTAGAGTACTAATGGTATAAATAAGTCCAAGAAATACTTGGACATGGCTGTGTCCTCTACACATGAATGGGGAGCCTACCTGAGGCTCTCTGCCCAGCTGTCACCAAGCTACACTCCATTCCCAGGAAGCTAAAGCCAGTATATCTGGGTGTATCTAATGTCTCCCTAATACCAGTGTAGTTCATGGGGAATGTCAAGTAGACGTCAACCTGATCCTTCATTTTATCTAAGATACATTCATTATTCTCATGTTGATAATGAAAAGATAAACCATTGATGAAAATAAACTGCCATTATATTTTAAAACACTCTGTTGAGTTATCATGCCCATACCATACAGTTCACCTGTTGTTGCCTTCATTTTTTAAAACTTGTAATGAAGCTCACTGATATGGTTTGGCTATGTCCCCACCTAAATCTCTTGAATTATAGCTCCCATAATTCCTGTGTGTTGTGGGAGGGACCTGGTGGGAGATAATTGAATCATGGGTATGGTTTCCCCCATACTGTTCTCATGGTACTGAACACATCACACTAGATCTGATGGTTTTATAAGGGGAAACCTCTTTTGCTTGGCTCTCATTCTCTCTCTTGCCTGCTGCCATGTAAGTCGTGCCTTTTGCCTTTCACCTTCTGCCATGTTTGTGAGGCCTCCCCAGCCACATGGAACTGTGAGTCCATTAAACCT